CAATTAGTCCCACCGAAAACCAAATGAGGATTGCTTTGCAGTCAAGTCTGTTGGATTGTGCGAAGAAACTCAGTGAACATATGCCAAGCTTTCATCTGAAATGGGACACGCATCAGAAGAAGAAGTAATAATCTACGAAACACCGATTCTCATGGTTTAGTGTATTGGTGCGCTATTTCAATGCCTGAAGATGTCTTTCGCATGTTAGATGAAAACTCAATACGACTTCATCGAAGTGGCGGGATAATTAGCAGAATAATTCTTGGCACAATCCAACAGTCTTCATTCTAAGGCAGTCCTCCGGCGGTTTCCAGTGAGACTAAGTCACAAATTTCTTCCAACCACTTTTTCCTTCAAAATTAAATATCAAATCACACTAACTTATTATAGGGTTATTCGAAACTCATCTCTTCCTCACCTTTATGATTCAATTAAGATTTATTTAAAAATTCAATTTCTCTTTGACTATGCACATTTGCTTTATTTCCTATTTACTTTTGACAAACTGTCTTCAGGCAAGGAACTTTAGCAGCCAAGACCGCTTTCGGTTACCAAAGTGGCCAACTGATGTGTCTTAAGTGCTGTTATCTCAGTTATACTGTTTAGAATGCGAGTCTTAGAACGTTTTTCTTAAACGATGAGGATAATGTGATAAATCTTGCAGTGCACCTATTACCTTTTTGCAGAAGCATACAGGACTGATGATTTTCCAAGCCTCATTCGAGACCATATTCGCAGCTGATTGGTCAATTAGGCTTGGTCTAAACCTGCCAGATCACAGGAACTTTAGATATGCCTGGGTCGCTTGAGCTATTTGAGTAATTGTACTAGAGTTTATTCTACAATGAAATGAGTAAGCCCCATGATGCCAGTTAATCTCACTCAGTCATGTCTCCCAAGCTGTACTCCAGACTTGAATGCAGTTTCAAATTTGCCTCAATTGGCATCAAAGTATAGCCCCGAAATAGCCTCGGACTGAAGCGGCACTACAGGCCTAACCATTTTACCGAGCGAATACACCAAATGGAGAAAGCTGAATTTTTAGCGTCCAATATTTCAGTTCGAATGCCAAATTGGGCAAGAGGCATTCGAAACTCGGCAAATACATACCCCAAAGTTGTATTGTCTTGACGTTACGACTGTCGAGTTTAGCAGGAAAGCAGACCTCTGACCCCGGTCCCTCCACACACACTTCATCTGTCCTGCCCATGCAAAACTTGAGAAAATAGTCCTACCTACTAAGACTTGTATTCACCCGAGGTCGCATAAGGGCTGATAGCTGAATGTTCCCAAATGGATAGAAGTAAGCAGCACAATATGTCATCAAATTTCACGATGTCTTTCTTCTTAAAACGTATTCACCTCCGGACTGGACTACAGATTTGACGTCATGAGCACCTCCAGTGGGAATCGAGCAAGGGCAGTGCCGCGTAATGTTCCGATGTGTTTACGCCACACAACACAGGACAGACGTGGCGTGGGGGTTACCATGTCGAAATTATACGCTGCACTAGCCTGGCTCTATTCCGGTTGTGGGTGCGTATGCGATCCAGGCAAGATCGAAATTGTAGTCCTGTCCAGTCTGGATGTGAACAGCTTTTAGGAGGCAATGCAAAATGCAATTTAATGGTCTCGTGAGAGCAATAGCCGGCTTACGCTGTTTATGACGTCTGAATAGATCGTTTATTCATTCAAACATCTGTTTCATATGAAAATTCGCATGAAAGGGATTCGCAAACTAGCTTTGCCGGAATCTAAATATATTTGTAGAAATGGGTTGACCTCGTTGTCGCAACTTGGTCTTGTTGTTGTTATATGGACTGCGAACATACCAGAGACCACAACATCTTGGTCTTCATATCGTGAATATATTTGGTTGTGAGTAGGTTTTCGAGACTACCAATTTATCATAACATTGAGTTTTGTAC